AGAGGGTCAGTCACAAAAATGAGTTCCCACCTCACTCTGCTCTCTTTAAACATCAATTGTACTTTTTAATACTTTAACCCAATATGTGGTGGTCCAATGAGTTAGTAGCACTTAGTGGCTCTAAAGGCAAGTCAATATATAAAATGCCAATTCCATGCCCAAGGACAACCATGTCATAGATAAGTGTTGAACACACAACAAAATGTCATTAAAAACATACAGTACTATGTAAAAGTCTTGCACCAACCCTGATTTCTTTATATTTTGTTAGAAGTTTGTTAGAAGCTTAAAAGTCAATATTTGGTATGACTACCTTTATTCTTTGACACAGCCTGAACTCTCTTAGACAAGTTTTTCTATAGATTCTTTAAGTAGTCTTCAAGAATAGTTCTCCAGGCTTCTTGCATAAGTATAAGCTTTATCTGGATAAATTAGCAGACCTGCTGAATGAGCATAAATATGTTCTGTTAAAGAATAAACTGAGCTGGGTGATAATTTATCCCCTTCATACCTGTGTCCTGAGTGTCCTTCCTTTTCATCCTAGGTCTTACAAGAGCTCCAAAACATCAAAATTACTGCAAAGACAAAGAGGCACTGAGGGTAGAAATGGACTAGCATGGATAAACAGAGCAGGCATTGAATACTGCAGTATGTTTGCTGTTTTTCTGGAAATGTTCTTTGAGGCTTTTACCTTCAAGGGCAGCCCACACAAATGCAAGAACTGAACATAGCTCTGCAGTGGAAACTGATCTGTGTTATTTTCAGAGAGTTCAGCTTGCAGTTTTTTGATGCTATGACCTACCTACCTTGAATGTGCCATCAATGCCATTATGGTCATCGGGTCTGGTGGTTTCTATACATGGAAGCACAACACTACAGTCAAACATTAAAAGGCCATTTTGCAGGAGGTGGCACTCTGCATGGACCAAATGCTTTTCCCTCATGATTGCATTATTAGAATCCCCTCTCATATTGCCATATTTGTGCTCCACATTTGTACCCCACACTGCAATTTATTTATTTAGTTTTTCTCATTGCTAATGAACACTAGGGTTACTCTGTCAGCCTGTTAGAGGTCTTTATTTTTTCCTAGTAACATTTTAATTGCAAATCTAGTGTATTTCTCGCTGTATAGCTTCAAAATAAAATTTCTTACCTCAGCACCGCGCTGAAAATGTCAAGTCCTAAAGCATTGTACCAATGAAAGCTGCAGATTCCTACCCGGAGAAGAAATTCTGGTCTTATATCACTGTAACCTTTTGAATTCACTTACTTGTTAAAAAAGTGAAGTGTGTAAATACATCTGCATATTCCACTGCTAGCAAAATAAATGTTGTATGAAGGACGTGATATGCTGCTGGCGGACAAACAGGCCTGCTAAAAGTGATTTTTTTTTAAGTCAGATTTATATCACATAACTCACATTTGTACTTTTTATTCATTCTTCACAGACTGGAGAGTGCAGGTCACTGGATGTCCATGCGCCATCAGCCCTCCTTCCCAGGGTTTTTCCACAGCAGACTCTATGTGAACGGCTCACCTCAAGACACCTTCATCAAACTCCCTGTGAGTGATTCAGTTGATTTCACCATTGTACAAAATGGGAAAACATCATTAGAAATGATATCCTCACTAACTTCACAGATTTGAGTGGTGTTTGTTTTTTTTGACACAAATTCAAATTTAAAAGTATTTTTTCTTGATGTTTATTTTGCATGAATTTCGAGTTTTGATTCTTCTAGATGACAGAAACACAGAAGTTTCACATAAACAATCTAAAGCTGTCGTCACCGTGTTATCAGGGGGATCTCTCCTCTAATCTGTTACGAATTCTGACATCAAGCTAGAAATTCAGTTTAGAGCAGACATCTGTTAGGAGATCAGCTTTTCACTGAATTTCATTTTGGGGAGTGATAATCGACTTTGACTTTTGGTTTTCTAATTACTGTCATGAATGTTGATTTAATGAATTAGTCTTTATTTCATAGTTAATACACATCTGTAAAATATGCTCAGATAAATGGCTTGATTGCATGCTGACTCGTTTATAATTCAGTGGGCAAATTTACACAATGATATTATTCTTTCGCTCTGCTAGTGAGATCGGACAATTTCTAAAGAGGTTTTTAGGAGAAAAGGATGTTCAGTAAGGCATGAGTAAGTCCACCTACTATTGGTAGTCGGGAACATGTTTTTTTCTTTTAATATTTTAATATCGTTACGCACTGTAATGGGGAACTGGTTGTGTTCACAGGGTTGGAGCAAAGGTGTTGTGTTCATCAATGGCAAGAATCTGGGACGTTACTGGTCCACTGGTCCTCAGCAAACTCTCTATGTCCCAGGACCCTGGCTTCACAGGGGTGACAACCAGGTACTGTGTCTTCTCCAGAAACACATGTGCTTACCGTTTAGAAAATCTGTTTAAAGTCTGTTTTACACACTTTAGCTAGAGTCAAGAGACCTAGTGAAGACGACCTGGTGCAGTTGAAACTGAGTCAGAATGAGGGAAAAAGGTGATTTAAGTGACTTCATGGTTGTCGGTGCCAGACAGGCTGATCTGAATTTTTATCAGAAACCGCTTACACTGTGATCTTTCCACACAAACATCTGTAGGGTTTACAGCGAATGGTCTGAAAATAAGATCAATTATACAGTGAGCAGTAGTTTTCTTTTCTGATGCAGGACATCAGAGGACATCAGAGGAGAATCGCTAAACTCGAATAACCACTCATAACAATCGAGGCGTGCAGAAGAGCATCTCTGAAAGGACAGTTCATCATTTATTGAAGCTGATCGGTTAAAGCACCAAATGACCACACCGGCTTCCACTCTTGTTAGCTGAGAGCAAGAAACAAGGGCTACAGTTTGTACAGATGCAACAAAATTGAAAAATAGAAGAAGATTAGAAAAATGTTTTCTGCTCTGCCAAGTCCTGGTTTCTGCCACAGCATTCATGGCAGGGTCAGAACTTTAAGACTCACTGTCTTGTATCAGTGGTGGTATCAATTTGCTGGTGGTGGCGTCATGGTGTGGGGGATATTTTTACAGTGAGCATTGTTTAAATGCCACAGCCCTACCTGAGTATTGTTGCCATCCTATTATTACCACAGTGAACCCATCCTTTGGTGCCTGCTTCCAACAGGATTACACACCATCTCAAAAAACTCAGGTAATCTCAGACTGGTTTCTTTAATGTGACAATGAGTTTATTGTTCTCAACTGGGCTCCACGGTAACCAGATCTTAGTCCAGTAGAGCATCTTTGGGATGTGTTTATTGACATCATGAAGATTTAGCTGGCAAATCTGCAGCACATCATCCTATCATGTCAGCATGGACCAACATCAATCAGGAATGTTTCCATCACTATCTTGAATCTGTGCCATGAATAATTCAGGCCGTTTTGAAGGCAAAGGGGGTCCAACCTGATACTAGCAAGTCGTCCATAACATAGTGGCCAGTGAATGTGTGCGTACAAAACTATCTGTGTATTTATTTAGTTCTATGCAGATTTTTTTTCCCTTCTCTACAACATTTTTTAGATTTTTCTCCACTATTTATAATATAATATAATATAATATAATATGCACATGCTATTTTATATGAGCTCCACTAATATGACAAAACATATTGGCGGTCATACGCTGCAGTTTTCAGTCATCTGTTTTGTTCAACTCTGCAACTTTATTTCTGCTCTTTCTCCCTGTTTTCTCCTCTCTTAGTGTGCGTATGTTGACATTAGTTCTTAAACACCCACACTTACTGTACTTTCATGACCTCAAATAAGCCGGTATGCAATGTTTTTGACTTGTCATAGGTCATAGTGTTTGAAGAGCAGGAAACCGATGGTAAGATCCAGTTCGCCAGCAGCCCAGACTATGGCATGACTATTGATGTCCAGTGAGGAGAACAAGAGGGAAGGGTGGATTAAGAGAGGAAGAGGGAGGAGGATGGGAGGATAGCGTGGGAGGACACGACCGCTGTAAGCTGCACTGACGCCTTTCTGCAACTCAAAAACACTCAAGACTGACACGTCAGTGAGCACGACATCAGCAATGCAGCTGTGTAACCAACTTCCTCACAGCAGTTCCTCATTACTGTGTGTTTGCAGCTTTGTTTTTATTTATTTTCTTAACAGATTTAACCTTAAACCCTGAAACGTAATTGGAGATCAAGAAACGGAAGGAGAGTGAACTTGATTATAATAAATGTTCTTCCTCTGAAAGACTTAATTTATTGCTTGCATCCAGACTGTATAACAACAATGTGTGAATAAAGAGTTGTTTGACCTCTCTGCCACTAACCAAGGCCGAGGAAACCTTTAAATTGTTTTATTTATTTATTGACTCTGTTTGCTTTTCAAATATACCTTCTGATGGTATGTTGTGTGCTTCTGTGGATAGGTCATGCACACAAAGTGTCTCTGAAAATCTCTTTTCCTTTTTATGAAAACCTGTCATGTGTCTGGTCATCATCAGGGATTTTCTTTGAAGACATACTACAGGAAAGCAATGCATTCTAGATCGATTAGAGGTGGGTGGATCGATCAAAATATTGATCGTTTTGGTAGTGCTGATATTGGTATTGGATCGATACTTAGTCTCTGTCCTCAAAGCTCAGTATGAGCCCACTAACTTGTGTTAAATTAATAATTTTTTGGGGGGAAATAAAAAAACATATACCTCAAATGTGCACTATGAAAAATGTCTCAATCTTCATTTGAACTAGGTAACCTGATGCATTAAGTCCAACACTTGATCTAATCAATGGATTTACAAACAGCTGGAAACACAAGCAAGATGTATGTAGACATAAAGTTTGGCAAAAACCATTTTATATAGTAGCACAAAAAATGCACTGGTTACAACAACAATAGCATGAAAGCAAAACTTTTATCCAGACTTTGAGCCCTAAACGTCTTCACTCTGAGGGGGAAATTACATGCAGTACAACAGACAGTACAGAGGCATCCACTGGACACAATACACAGAGCCAGGTGAGGTTGTTCTCAGTGATTTATTTATCTGGATTCAACTAACATCTTTCTCTGAGACAGAATTGCTGTGGCAAATAAACAACCTTAAGAGTCACATGCATAAAATGTGAATCGCATGAGGCTGAAAGATGACTGTGGAGATGATGAAAAGGGAGGACTTTGTGTCTGTGTGTGTGCATGCGTGTGTGTAAAGTGTATTGTGCCTTTTAAACGCCCTCAGAGGGGTTATGTTCTTTAAATGACTTTCAGTGTTGATGTTGCTGCACATTGCAGGACGGTTACTTTATAACAGACTAATGCTGTATCACATACTGCTTGATGCGTCATCAGCTGGGATCAGATGAAGGGCAAAGTTGAAACAGCATCACTCTGACGTTGAAGCCTTTTTAAACCAGGGATGTCAAATTCATTTCACATCGTGGGCCGCAAAGAAGCTACTTTGATCTTAAATGGGCTGGAGCAGTGAAATGACATGCTAAATATTAATAATTACTGGCAAAGTTCTGACAATTCATTGCCCAGACTGGCCTGTAATTATAAAATATAAAGTTTTAATTCAAAACATATTTTATTAAATGACAAATTTATATAGTAGATACTGAGAAAATGGGAAATTTCTGTCAATGAATTGTTTATTTATTACTTAATAACTTTAGCATACTACAAATGGGGGGGTCTTCATTAACAGGAAAAGCCACAAAACCTATGAAAATCTATACAGTCATTCACATTTTCCAGACTGGAGTCTTTGCAGGTCAATTCTGGTCCCTGGGCCTTATATTTGACACCCCTGATTTAAACTGTCCTGACATCGCAGCATCATTGTTCTGAACTCACCACTGCCTCGTCTGTACCCCACATTGCATTTGTTCGCCTGCACAAACGCAGCATTTGGAACATTTTGTTTCACTCGTAAAAAGCAAACTTTTCAGATGGATTCTGTCATTGACTTTTAACACATCTCAAGTAGAGCTCAGCCAGCAGCAGTGCTACGGTCCTCCTGGCACCTTCAACCTGTTATTGATCTGTGTAATCGTCCCTGTGTACAGTGTAGTGTATATGTGCATGCTGTTTACTGGAAAATACAGATTAAAGGGCAAAACCCTGGCATGACTGAATTGCACATCCAAGCTTGAAATAAATATATAAATAAATATATTAAATTTGATTTTGAATAAATAATGGGAGGATAGCGATCTCTCCGTGGCTGCGGTGTAATATCATGCAGTCAGTGGAAACGGCCTGTGTTATTTTAGAGATACCAAACAGCCTTTGTCTGCGTGTGTATCTTATCGCATCCAAAGTGAAATCTGCAATAACACGGGTTCTGCGGCTTGTACGTGTTCATGGGGGCAGTAGGGTGTTTTGAGTTGGCTGTGTGTGCTGGGTTATGGAGGATGGTCTGGGTGTTTTGTTTCGTTTTTCTTTTTTTCTTTTTAGGAGGTGGGGGGAGGACATAGATAATCTAGCAACAGCACAGAGGCTCAGTTCTTTCTTGAATTATCTCCAGCTACTTCTGCTGGCCAGCGTCAGATAAGAGAGCCACCGCTGTGTCTAAGATGGATGATTTATCAAGCAGAGGAGAGACTCTATTATACGAGATGCAGAATAACTTTCAGCAGCGCAGCGTCGTACCTACTGATGTCTAATGTTCAGAGGAGCAGAGACTCCATTTCTTGACATCCATGGATGCTAACACACATCACCTCACTGCCAGATCTTTAGCAAAAATAACACTGATTTTCATTGTGCTTTTCTTCTTGTAGCCCACTGTTACTTTAGGCTTGGGTTTAATATTTGATTTCATATGTGGAGGCCATAACTAATAATAATAATTCTCTATGTTTTGGGGTTGGGGGGGGTCTTTAGCGCTAACAGGAAGTGACAGGCTTTGTGAAAACCAACTGTGTAGGCTCTGATGCCGCTTCATCCTTCTTTTTTTGGGGGGGGGGGCTATACACAGCAGACTTATGAGGTCCGGGGCAGATGTGCGTGTGCTTGTGCACAGATAAAGGGAAATATTAAATCATTGAGTTTTTCTGCATTGCAAAAAACTCACAAAGTTACAGCAGATGAAGTCAAGGGTAGATTTGGAGGGGGGTGTCAGGGCAGCGGTTGTGAATCTGCCACGTTAATGATGCTGATGTGCTATTACTCTTTCCATGTGTTGAACCCATTGTGAACCTGTGCCTTGTTGTGTGTCGTTCTAAGGAATTTACCAGGGAAAGGGACTCTTTCTTCTTCTTCTTTACATAGAAATACAGTAATTACAATGCATCTGTCAAACCCCTCCTCTGACTCTTCTCATATTCAATTAGTATTTATACATGTCGTCACAGAGGAACATTTGTGTGTTTTTAAGTGCTAGGGAGAGTGTTAGGTTTCTGATGCTTACTTGTACAGTTCAGCTTCGAAGCACAGAGGGGTACGTGTGCAACTGCAGTCTGTCTTCAAGTGTACGAGTTATGATGGATGACTATAAAATGGACAGAGTAAATGTAGGCAAGAGTCAGTAGTGTTGAACTAGCAAGTCAAGTGCATGTGAAACGCCTAAACCAGTTAAATGAACTTAAAGCAAACCGAAATGAAGAAGTTTCCTTCCCTGTCTATGTTTGCGTTCGCTCAAAAAGGAAAAATCCACATCAGGCGTCTTTCTCCTCGGAGTGGTGTTTTTTTCTTGTGTGTTGTTTTTTTATCCAGGCGGATGATGTGGGCCGTGTCCTTAAATCCATGAGGAATTTCTCAGGGGGGGATACGATGTGCAGATCCAGCCCCATTTGTCTTTTATTTCCTCTTTTTTTGTTCTTTTAAATTTGAGGTGGATATTTCTTAAAACACTTGTTTGGCTGAATCCGCTGTCTGTATGCTTTTTTTTCCTTCTTCGTATTGTGCTGTCTCTTTTGTTAGGCTGTCCTCAGCGGGCCATTGTTCACCACCGCCCCCCCTGCCACCCCACCAACCCTGCGAGGCTTCCTTTGCTGTTGTCTCCTCTGCACATCGGTGGCAGACCTGACAAATATCTGCTGCCTTTTTGCTATAATCTGTGCTTTAATACAATACATTATGTACTGTTTTGGTCCATATTTTTTTAAACAAAAAATGTCAGATTGAGTCAAGAGGATTAAGTCCCTCTTTAAATGCCCCCCACCTCCTTTTTTTCCTTTTCCTCGTGATTAAGATGTGAGCACTTATCGAGAAGCTTAGCCGTTTTCTCCCTTCTCAGCTCAGAGGCCAGCCACCTGCAATGGAAAGGATTAAGACGGGTTGAAAAAAGATCACCAAGGTTTAATTTAATCTCAGTAAACCTGTTTATTTCCTTGGCGACATTTAATAATGGACAGCAGCTAATTGGACTTTAATAGAGGGGCACTGAAAATGACTGAATGGCGTATCAGGAAATATTAATGATAAATGCTCCTTTTACAGGCTAACCAGGCGAGATCAGGTGATGCTAACCTCCTAAATTCACCTTATTTGTAAATGAAGCTTGCCAGTGAACAAAAGGTTGAGCTCAGTAACAACTCTTGGCTCAGTAAGCGCAGACTTACTGTGGCGGGAACGCAGTCAGATCTCCACATTGGGGTCTGTGAATCCCTTTTTTCCCTCGTTTACAAGGACGGGTTTCTCTGTTCTCGTGTGCCAAACGAGTATCTGGTGAGAAAAAAAACAGCATGGAGATAAACAAGCAGGAACATTAGTGACATGCCGCTCCCTTAATGCACCCATTCAGTCTGCTCCCCGGTCAGCTCCCACTCCGCCTCATCTTCTTCAAAAACATTCAATTTCCCTTATAGCTCCAGCCCCCCCACCTATGTGCAAAGAGCTACTTGAGTGTGAACCCTGCATTAGAAGGGAGTGACAGGAGACCACAGGAGTGCTTTATCTTACAAATATGATGAAGCCCTCTGAGTTTAGCTTGTGTAAAAGAGTTCTCTCCTTGCCATGGGGTTAATGGCTACCACCGAATGACAGCCTAGTTTTAAAAAATGTTTTCACACCACAGTTTGTGTAAGCTCCTTTGCTTTTGTGGTGCAGCTCTTTGCACACTTCCTCCGGGTGTACTATTTGTATGCCCACAGAGAGCATACAAACATCCAGGAAAAGGACGGCAAAAGAAAAACAGGGAGAGAGAAGAAACTGTAAGTGTCAAGCTCATGTTCTCCCCCCTCCTCTCCTCTCCACTGTGCTGGAACCCTTCCTCCTTTCATCTTGCCGCAGCGCTGGTCATGAATTATGCATTGGGCTCGTGTGAGATACGCCAGGAGTCCACTCCCACTTTGCTCAGGTGTGTGTGTGTCTGTATGTGTGCGCAGGGGGGGTTAATTATCAAACCTACATCTGAAGTGGTAGATTATGAGGAAGAGAGATGCCTGAGCACGATTTTCCATCTTTTTTTTGTCTCCCCCTAACCCTTTCGCTCCCGCCCTTCAGTCCGTCCCTGCACTCATCTGTAATCAGCGTGACACCCCGACGTCCTCGCTTCTCCATCGACTCCAATTCCGTTCTCTCGGCCCTCCTCTGAATCCCCTCTTTTCATTTGGCCCTCTGAATGGCAGAGAAAAACAGGGGAGAAAACTGGCCCTTCCTTTCTCTTCTTTCGCTCTCTCTACATGTATCTGTATTTGTGTGTGTGCGTCTATTTGTGCGCGTGTGTGGGGGTGGTTGTGGTGTGGATATTGGCTAGCTCAAGCCCTCTGGCTGACTCCCCATTGCCCTGAGAGAGTGAAGTGACCCAAACCACTGGCCATAAGCAGGAATGGTGGAACGGGTACTGAGAAAAAATTGTGTTGCTGCTGCTGCCGTTAGCCTCAAGCTACTGACTCAAGTGTGTGTGTGGATGTGCAAGAGAGCACGAGGGCAGCCTGGGAAATATAATCAATGATTTCCAACTTTTTTGCAAGAGCCTTAAACTTATAGACACTCTGACCATTAGAAAACCATCAAGTTTTTTCATGAAATACATCACCTTCTGACTCTCAAAGAGGACTAGGATTTTTTTTCTTTTCCCCAGAGAGAGGACTGGGGGTGAGGGCTCAGTCAATTAAGTTTGTTTATTCTAAATCCAAAAGCCAGGAGCCAGTTGGCTTATCTTTAGCTCAAAGGCTGGAAGGAAAGAAACAGCAGCTCTAAAATGTCATATATAAGTAAGCATGTGCACTAAAATGTCAAACTTTTTCTTTAATAATTAATAAGACCTCTCTTATGATGGAGACTTTCTGTGTTTTGTTGTTACGAACAGCTTCTCTGACGATCTCGATTATTTATAGAAAGTCACACTCTCATTGCTAATGCTTTTATTTTTTCTGCATAATCACAACAGTTTGGCTCCAATAGTGTTAAGCAGCAAAAAGAGAGGGAAAAAAAATGACTATTACATAACTTGTGAAAACTAATAATAATTCTCTTTGTTGCCGACCGTGGTGCTCAGCAGGGGGCTTGATTTTAACGCTGCGAGAAAACATATTGTGGATTTCTTTCCGCTCTGTCTTCTTAGTCTAAATGATTGGTGAAATTCATGTCGTGGGATGATTCAGCACTTAAAAACATATAAACTTGTCAAGGCGGGTTATGCACAGGCATAATGGTTCTATGGAGCGGGGATTCCCGTGATGCACTGATGAGTGTTTCTTCACTCACCTCTTTTCAGTCTGTGTTTATACACCGCTTTGCATTTAATCATTAAATATTATTAAAATTTGTCTCTCTTCCACAGTGTGTCTTCTCTCCTTCCTCCCTCCCTTCTCCCCTCAGCCTGGTTCTCCTGTACGCTGCTAAAAGGGAGTTTTTCCTCCCTGCTGTCACCAATGGCTTTCACATAGGGGTTGTCTGATTGTTGGGATCTTCTCCATAATAATTAGCATCTTTACCTTACAATATAAAGTGCCTTGCAGTAATCGTTTTTGTGAGTTAGCAATATATATAAAAAATTTATTGAATCTATAGAAGTCAAGCGGACACACAAATGGCATAAACCTGGTCCAGTCCAAAACAAGGCTAGGCAGCGCCTTTACCACCTTCGACAACTGAGGACCACCCCCGACCCCCCCAGCATCCACAAGCATCCATAAGCATCCATAAGTGACTGAGACAGGACTTATTCTTAACACATCCCAGCCTGACTCTTCTGAGCCTCACTACAGCACTAGACACTTTAACACCCACCCGCACAATGTACATTTTTCATATTTTCAATTTAAAGTTTCCAGACTGTCTTATTTATGTAATTCACTTAATGTACATAATTCACTTACTTGCTGCACATAATGCTACTTACTGCACATAATGTCCTCCTGTATATGTTCTCTCTTTTTGCACAGTTGAGGAGTGTGTCAGGCTACATTTCACTGTGTGTTGTACTCGTATAACTATGCATGTGACAAATAAAGAATCTTGAATCTTGAAGAAAATCATTAGGATTGAAAATGAACAAAAAACAAAACAAAAAAGAAAAACTTTTAAAAGTGTTCAGAAGTCCTGGGGAACTATTGGTGATGACCACTTGACCAATAGCTACAAAAAAGTGAAAAACCCCCACTATGTGAAGCTCCTTGGAAGCACAATACTGCATGATTGGTATGCAAACGATGCACGGCAGACCTGACCACATGGTTCACTTTGTTACACTTTTATTCTCGGTTACTCTTCTCAGTAACATTCCTTGGCTGCAGCTTTTCAGCTCCAGCCGCGCGCGCACGCACACACACACACACACACACACACACAACAACACCAACAACAACTCAAAACCCAGTACAGACTTAAATGCAGGGGAGGCGTGATGAGCTGAGGCAGCTTCGGTGTGTTAGCCTCCCAGCAGCGGCGCTACAGACCACGCCCTGCCACATGATACTTTATAGTCTTGAAAATTGGATACCAAATATATTTTGTACTGCTGTCCCCATTAGAATCAGAAACGGAGTATGAAGCCAGCTTAGCGTTAGTGTCGTTATTTTATAATGCTCTGGTAAGTTGTGATAAGTACATTTACATCATAACAGGTTTGTGGTCCTTTACATGAGTTTTTTCCATTTCGCTTTTTATGTTACACCATTATTCCACAACATTTCAAATCATGTGGTTCCGAGCCTGTAAAGCTTGTGACCCTTTACATGGAAAAAAAAAAAGCAGAGTGGTGTTTAAGGCTCTCTGTCTTGTAGGATTTTAATTCTACAAGACAGAGAGCCTTCACTGTTTGAAGCAAACAGTGAAGCAAATCCCTGAAATACAAACCGCTCAAGGCAAGCTGCTTAACATCAGTAAACATGTGAAAAACTAACCCCAAAAATCAAGGAAATTACCTTAGTGCAATTGGCTGCTTTCGGCTCCAGGTCGTTGAGTGTGACAAGCTCCCGGAGCAAGCTGCTCTCCTGGTAACCTCCCTTCACCCCGCGAAGCTTAAAATACGCCTGTGGCTTGAAGAGGATGAGCCTCAGGTTGATGGCAAAGCCAGCCATGTCGATGGCAAAGGGCCGATGGGGGTCAAACACCGTCTTCCAGCCGTAGACCTTACCGGCTGCACTGACCTTGGGGGATTCGTACCTCAAGCCACCCACAAAAGCCACAGGCCACACAGAAACCTTCCGAGTCGATCTCATCTAGCGAGAGGAGAGAGGGGGGAAGAAACAGACAAGGAAAGACAGCAAATTAGTCAACTGAAAAACCATACATGACAGCGAAACAGTATTTGAGCATCAGCCGCTGGCTTTACAGCAGAGCACGGACAGAAGCTTTTTAGAGCTGCTGCTGCTATTCATTCTGAAAGAATATTGACCAAGCTATTGTGGCCTGCGAAGCTGACATGCTGTCAGATGAAGGCAGATCACACACACTGTTCAACAGCTGCCCTACAATGAGATAATTAGGCATCTAAAGCGAGTAAGCGCGGGGCAGTGCCAAGAGGGCTTGAAGTAGCAGAGCCATTAGAGCAAGTGGCCCTGGTAGCTGGATGACTGAGGAAATTCTTTAAGGCGCAGAGCCACCATTTTCTTCTTCTTCTTCTTTTTTTCTTTAACCCCCCCCCCCCCCCCCCCCCCCGTCCTTTAATCTTCCAGCATCAAACGATTTTGCCGCCCTCTTCTTTGTCTGCTGCTCAGCGAGTCTTCGCTATTCTAGAAAGAGCTGCTGCAGCCATAAAAGGTACATTTTTATAATGAGGGAAGAGGAAGGTTTAGAAACAGCAAAGTCATTTAATCAAACTCAATGCAGCAGAAATAATGATGCCGGTGCCTCTCCATAGGAAGGCCAAATTTAAAATAAAGGTGTGTGTGTGTCTGTAAGAGAGAGCGCCTCCGTGCATAGATGATAGGAGAACACATGGAGGCAATATCCATAACCATATGCTCCCCGTCAGAACAGAACATGAAATATGTCTCCACATAAGGACCAAGCCCATCATATCTTAATGACGTTATATAGTGCATTATTACCCCGACAGAGCACTTCACTCTTATACAGGGTGCAGACGTGCTTGTGGCTCCTATAGTTGTCAAAAGTGGAATGGGAAGTAGAGCCTTCAGCTCTCAGGCTCGTCTCCTGAGGAACAAGCTTCCAATTTGGGTTTGGCAGATGGCTGCTCTCTCTGACTCTGGTTCTGCTTGAAGTTTGTTCTTGTTATAAAGACCCCCTCTTCTCCACTCCCAAGCAAGCGCTTGCTCACACGGGAACAGTGGGCTTTCCTCTATAATGCTGTACGATCTTTATGTCTCAGGCACTGAAATGACTGCTGTTGCGACATTGCACTATATTAACACAATTGAGCTGAAATATCCACCCAAGCTTACTTGTCTAAATGTGTATTTGTAGATTGCGATTTTGTGCAAATCACATGCAAATATCGCAGTGCGCATGAGTTGCTGCGTTAGGTTGGTGTGTGATCTGATGGGCTGCTGCGCGAAGAGCTTGGGTGACCAGAGAGAAGTGGTTTGAACAGCATGAAGCAGCCCGGGGGCTTATGGGAATGATTGGATTTGAGCTTCGGGGGAAATGACTGTTCGACTCACCCAGATAAGCTTGAGCTGTCTGTACTATCTTAATGAGCTCTGTAAATTAAAAGCTTACATGCATGTGCGTATATGATAGTGATAATTTATAGGGAGGGGCTGTATATTTTTGTAGCTTGTTGTGTATCAGAGAGTTGCATTCTTTGCTACGCTTAATGGGCTTCGCCTCAAAGCTGAGATTAAATGACATTATCCTGCCTTTTTATCAACAGGGTTTTGTTGGGAAAACAACATTTAGAAATTTGGTAGTTTCCGGTCACCAAATTGTTGCTTGATTCTTTCACGGTTTACACTTAATAAATGAATCTTAACTTTGAGGCTTCACTCACGCATGGAAGGGATTTTCATGCTCATTTTTTTTCTTTTCCTGCTTAGGGGGATGGGTTCACTCCCAACATCATCTCACAACAATGCCTGCGCTGGACCTTTTGATATCACACTCGAACACACAGAGTTGTCAGGTAGACCATAATGGAAACAGATGCCATGAAACTGTTGTTAAATGTAGCGAGCTGATGTTACTATTGTAGATCAGGAAGTGCTTCGGAAGCAGTTGAGGAAGCTTGTTGCAGCTGCAAAGGGTGTTTTTTCGCCTACTGCGCACCATTATCACGTTTTATATTTAATCAGCTGGTCAGGGTGAAGATTTAGGAGTGAGAATAGGCTGTTCCTTAATAAACATCTGAGTTTGAGTCTTAAAAGCTGCTGTTTTGTCCTGAAGATAGTCTCAACTTTTGCTTGTTTTTTTCACACTTTTACAGTCCGGCCACAAGTAAAGTTATCCATCATCTTGCCCAAAAAATACCTGCCTGCGTCCCTTTCCTAACAGTATAACTCAAAACAATAGGAAACAAGCAATGAATCAGGCTCTTTACAGGCAGCGTGAAGAGGTTTGTCACTTTCCCCATCTACACAGACCATGTGAAAATGAGAACGCCTGCTGCTTCTGTTGGGAATATCAGCTGGAGTAAAGTAGCACAAATCCCTCTTTAGCCGGCAGCCAAGCAAATGAAAATGCAACCAAGTCCCCCTCCCCACCCCCAAGTCACCCCCACCCCGCCTCATTCTGGTGAATCTGATGTATCTATACAGCTTTTCTTTTCTTTTTTCTCTTCAGTGATGTTTTAGTTTGTGACTGGATGCCAATGTGTGCATTTAAGCTTCGTGTTTGAATGCAGAATTGTTGACAGCAGGGAAAAAAAAAAACAAGAGCCCCAAACTCTAGCAGAGAAAAGAAGGCAAGCATCCAGATGCATTAATCAATCCTTAAGGGTGCAGAGAAGATAACAGAAACAGAAGGGTCATCCACTGCTGCAGCTGGTAGTGCCTGTGGATTAAGTTCTTTTGTTTTTTGTTTCTTTCTTTGATCCAAACAATAGAAATGTGCATACTTAAATCTACATAGTACATGGTTGGGTTTTGGAATCCTGTTCATTTCATTAGAAAATCTATCCTCATTATAGGATTCAAATTACACAACCAACAATAAAGAAAATCAAAGAGACACATTGGCTTGCATAAGCAACCATTCTATCTGATCTTCAAATGCTAACGTAGAGATTTTTTTTAGTATGTCTTTATTATTTGGGTTGTTTGTTGTGAGAATAAATGCATTTTTCAAATCCCCAGTAGTCAAATATAATGATAAGACTGATGTGTCTGGATGCTATATTTTTGTCAATATCATCCAGCTCTGTTAAACTGCTGGTTTGCTCCTTTCTCTTGGATTTAAGTGGCCGACAGCCTGCCTGACAGCTAAATTGGAGTAGTCTTAACAATAGCATGATAAACAGTAAATAGGTTTCTCTTTTTTTGGAGTTTGGGAATAAAGCACATCTCATGAGGCCTCAATAATATACTGTATGTAGGTCTTTACTGTGGTACATGAATTTTTCATAAAGTTTTCATTAAGCCTTGACCTAAAAACTAGGCTCTTAATAACAGTCTGTATGCACCAAAGTCTGCCAAAGTAACTGCTGCTGGAATGAAAGACTGAGATTGAATTCAGATAGCGGCTATGTGTCGGTGGCAGTAATGGCAGTGTCCTCTATAGCAGCTGATGACAATGACTTTACCCTGCTGCCACAGAGCATTGTGTCATATGGTCTCACTACAGTTGAACAATAGAAGATTAGAAGATTGGAAAAACATTGCCCGGTGAAAGCATGGATCATCGAAAAGTGGATGTGCAGTTGAAAATGACAAAATCTCAGAGGAAGCTTCCAGTATTGAATCTATGCCACAAACAATTAGGGCAAAACGAGGTGTAACCCAGCACCAGCAATGTGTATCTAATAAAGTGTCTAGTTAGTCTAAATCTCAGTGACATTAACAATATTAGTTTGCAAAAGACAGGAGAACATTTCAAAGTACAACTTGTGTATTGCAGTATTGCGCTGCCAATTAGTAAATGCAAATGATTCACTGCTTTTTTCGATTTTTTTCATGGTGAAGGGGTCACCCATGTGTCTACCTGTTGAGTCCCTGTTTAATAACATTTGCCATCTTTACTGCAGTAATAGCCAACTCTCCATGCCCTGTCTATCTTACTGTCACCTCTTTTTTTTGTTTATTCTTTTCTGTGTTGCCTTTCCCTCTCCATGACTCTCTCCGTGCCCCTTGGGGCCATTACTCTGGACCATAAATAGGCCCATTGGAGGTGATGGAGAGCCTTTGAGCGAGACCAAGCGCTTTGGCTGATTCCCAGGGAAAGGTAATGACAGGCCCCGTCAATACCAGCGCTCCATTTACTACGGCTCCTGTCGGCACTACTAACAAGACTTGAGGCACATACTCGGAGGACCTAGACCGTGTCCGCTCAGGTAATTCAACTGATGTCAAGATGGATGGCCTGAGATGTACTAATTACATGCCCAAACTTCTCCCAACTGGCTTCAGATACCAACTGTGCTTGTTAAGAGTTTAAAGTACTTCAACTAAGAATTTATGGTTCAAATCCGCCCACGCCTCACCACTTCTCCTGTAACGGTGAGTATATAACAACACAGATAGATAATATATGGCACTCCATGCAGTATATCAAGAATTATTTTATATAGAACTTAAAAATGTCCAGTGTCCTTTTTCTCTAAAGAATACACATTGTATGCCAAAAAGCACAGACACAATATATTGCTCACATAACTATTTAAAGGTGCAATCCGTTATTTTTAATGCAGTGCATAAAATGATTTTAATACATTGTTAAGAATTCCAGTCATTCCTCTGATAGCTGAATGGCTTCTGAGCTTTAAGGCCTTTCTTATTCCCCCAGAAATACCCATCATCAACTCTGCACGTGGTTAGTGTTTCAGAAACTCAAGTGGAGCATCTGAAAGATTAATGGAGCTTGAGAGTAACAGATTTTTTTTTATAACTAGATAAGAGCTGGCAGCATATTTGCCAAGTTGGTGAAAGTGCTGCGACTGCCCCACCAAACATGAATATTAGGGACGATTTTAAAATGATATCACATTTTGATCTGAGTACATGCATAGTGTATGTTTGAACAAAAACCTACATCTGCAAATGTACTTGCACTGATATTTTTAAGAACAATTACTCAGTTAGCTTCATGGAGTTATCATGAAGCCTATCTCATGGAGAGAGGCAGGGATACACCCTGGACAGGTGACCAATCTGTCTCGGAGTAAAAACAGAGAGACAGGCAATCATTCACACTCTTGGACAGTTCAGATTCATGAACTAACTACGGTGGAACCCCAACTTACGAATACCCCATTTACCGAAAAATTCCAGTTACGAAGGCACTTAGCGGCAATATTTCTGCCCGTGTTAGGACAAAATGCCCGGTATATGAAATCCGCTGGCTCTGATTGGCTGAGCCCAGAATGCCTACAATGCCCACAATGCCTTCCGAATCATGTGACAACCCCTTGGCTTTTCTACTTGCGTTTCGCTGTTCCACTTAAACGACGTATTGTTGTTGCAGTTAGCAATTAGCCTATAGCCTATTGTTCACTCAAAAGGCGCGATGGGTGCTTCGGCTTGCGAAAAATTTCGACTTATGAAAGATCCTCGAGAATGAATTAATTTCGTAAGTCGGGGTTCCACTGTATATGTGTTTGGACTGTGGGTGGAAGCCAGAGTACACAGAGACAACCAGCAGTTTGGACACAGTTAAAGCTGGATTGGCGTTTCTGCTTAGTTTTCAAACTATAAGTTCTCTTCGTGTTCATACTGGGGGTGTGGGCTGTACGCTTTCTGATTCCTGCCCACAAACAACGTGAATGTGTCCTCAACTTTGTTATGTTTATTACAATTCAGCCACTGACCTCCTCAAACAGCTCCAGGCTGTATGTGTTATCATCATCAGCAAAGTAGACGATTCCCGGCTGGCTGTTGTTGGCGTTGAACGTCTCCCTCAACCACCGCAAGGCCAGATTCCGCTGCATAGTCCCTCTTGGAATTCTGGGATCCCGAGTGTCACCTCGCAGCTTATAGTTCCTGGGTGTCTCTACATTGAGATGGGTGTAGTTTAGTCCCGTTTCTCGGAGGAGTCGTGTGACAAGAGGCGTTCTCCTTTGGGAATCCTCCACCAAGATCCAGTGCAGGTTGGGGACATGGAGGAAGGTGTTTGCTAGCCGTGTCAGCTCAGCTTTCTGAACGGGCCGGCTATATGTGGGGGTGATGATGTGGATTGTGGGCAGCACATCCGACCAGGGCGGAGGCCGAGTGTACACATACTCTGTCCTCACCACCTCCACAATGTCCTTATCTGAGGCACAGTATTCCTTGGAGTCCTGCGCCTGGCCACCTGCCTCCCTCTTGCCCTCGACGCCATCATCTGTAGATGTGGGGATAAGAAGACATGTAAGGCATTAGTGTAACCTTGAGCTGCTTTTTCTATATTTGCCTCAGGTGACTTAAACCCAATGGGGGTAAAGTGTACCTGAGAGCCGGTGGTGGCGAACTGCAAGCCTCTCTGGAATGATAAAGATCTCTTTTACTAGATGGTGACAGGCTGCAAAAAGTGAAAGCAGGCACCGTGAGAGGATAACACAGCTGATGGACAGAGAGACAGTGCAAGACGAGGGAGGGATGAGCCCTGCTATTCCCCCGGTGTTGCCTTTGGGCTTTTCTTTTTAAAGGAAGAAAAAAGGCATGTATGTAAATGCGGTAGACATGCCTTTTCCACCACAGACTCTCTCACCCCCTGTATTGTTGAAATTGCTCTTCTTCTTATATTAAAATATCTCAGGGTTCAAGTGGTAGTTAAACTTTTTTACACTAAGACTGGTCTGGCCCACTTTAGATCACAGTGGGTTGTATGTGGCCCATCAATTGAGTTTGATATCCCTGCTCTAGACCCAGTGTTCACAGTTCAAATGGATTTTACCTCAGAGAGGCCTAAACATCCACATCCACATGTGTGCTATTACAGTGAGGTTTGTAAGCTTTTGAGTCAAACAGCAATGACATAATGTTGGATTTTGCCATTTCTCGTTAAAGGCCATAGGTGCAAACTCTTGTATCAAGCCATCAAGAAATCTGCAAGGTCTTCTCTACTGAAAATCTGTTGCTTTTGTCGGTATCTTCTTTGCATCCATGAGCTGCACATACGCATACTGTATGTCAGACAGACAGAATAGCAAAGTGAAGGTTTCTCATGGAAACGCTTTCATAAGACACCCTGTGTGGGTTTTAGGGCATGTTTTAGGTAACACAACCTAAAATTGGAATGGTGCTTAAGGTGTTACATCGCGTATCAGTGCAGAAACTGAGGTTTGTGTGCTAAGTCTATAGCTTGTGTCAATGCAGTACATCATTTTCCATTTTATGTGTGGGAAGGTGAGGCTCATTTTCAAAAATCTGACCTTCTTTAGAAATGCACAAAACGCAGCGAATCAGTCAGCTGACGCATTTTGAGTAGACTCCCTCGGTGAAGGCTGTGATATTTTGGCCTGAATAGTTTGGTCATGATGGACAGAATGTGATTACAGAGTCATTAAGGTTGCTCATTTCTTCCTATTGTGCCACAGCTCATGGCAATCTTTCACTTTTCTTCTTGAGCTCTAGTCGCACCTCCGGCATAAAAGGGGATTTTTTTCTGCAGCACAAAGATTAACACAATCTTCTGATGGCCAGATGTTCAACAGAGGCTGCCAGTGAGCATGCTGCCAATAAATCTCTAGCTTTTCTCTTTTAAAGGAACACAAAAGGAAGCCTGTGGACAGAGCTTGGTTAGATTGTCATTTAAAAAAGTTATTATATCTTTAGTGTATTCCATGAGAAATTAAAATTGCTTAACTATGTACAATTTTTTTTTTTGGGGGGGGGAACTTTTTATTTTTATTTTTTAATTTACCTTAGTCGTTAAGGAGCTAATCAGACTCTATTCAGAAGGTTTGAAGAACCTGCAAAAACATGCTGAGTCAAATCATGTGTAAGTTCGGTACAGACTCCCATAGCTCATTTGAATAAGCCTGTTTTCCTTGTTAACCCCTCTTTGTGCATTTCTGAGATTACAGGAATAGAGCAGATTGCTCTATTGATTTGCTGTTGCTTTAATTTGGGTGTGTTTATTCTGCAGGAATCTTGACATTTTAAACTGTTGCTTTTCTGGTTTGCAGAGAAGGCACCAGACACTGGTGAAGTTAATTAATAGGACACATTTATGCTTTTTAATTGCCAACAGTCTCTGAAATTAATTTGCAATGACACTGAGCCAATTATAACAGGCAAAGGTTTGGCTCAAATGCTTGATTGACACAAACTCTATACTGGATACTGTGTCACACCAAGAAGATATGGATTGATGTTGTAAGCTGAATTGTAATGTGAATGGATAAGCTGCAGAAGGATTTAGTTTTATAATATGCAACTCTGTTCAAGTTATTACTAACAAAAAAAGAAAAATTGCAGCTTAGCAGTTTTATTCTGACAAACTGAGTATATGGAATAAATATAACTCCCAAATGGAGTGGGTATGCAACTCATCCGTCACTGCAAAATCATCCCTGACTGATGAGGTTTGCAGTGACCGGACAAGTGCTTTTCAGTTCCGATGAAGCTGATGGTCATGGCTTTCAAGTGTCTCTGTGTGAACAGCCTGTTGTCTAAACTTGAAGTACGGTGTTAAGTTCGAGGGCCCACTTCAAGTTCGATATCGTCAGTGGAGTGCAGCGTGCTGCGTACCCTTTCGGATGGCGAGGAGTGGAGCAATAGCGTTTTGGTGCCAAACGGTGATGAGCAGAGTCCAGGGTAACACGATCAACACGATGGCAAGAATATCTCTTCTCTTCGGCATCTCCAGGATTGGTTATTTGGCTCGGCATTACCTGGTGGGAACCGTGAAAAGAAAAAACCCAAACAGATATTAAAAGTCAGCCAGCCAACTTAGACTTATAACCTTCACCAGAGCAAGCTAACATATTTGTTTTTGATTAATCTCAGTTATTTGAAGAAAAGGAAATCACACTTGCAGGACCTTTATTATTGTTGACTGGCTTTTAAATAGCATTTAAGACACTCAAGGACTTTGTCTTTATGGACCTGACTGGCTCTCTGCAAAGCAAAACCTTCAGTGACTAAAACTGAGTAATAGCTTACTTACTGTTGTTCAATCTTGAATTCTATTTTGCCACAAATGCATAACGCTCTCACAGTTTTCAAGTGAAAGACAACATGATTACTGTATTACCTACACAGAATTTAAAATAAATAAATAGGGCCTGATTTTAAGCAGTAACCAACAAAGGGAAGGTCAAATCCATTGGAGGAGGCAATGCATTGACAGCTTGTGCCCCCTGCTAACCCAGTGAGCTCATCAGCGCTATCACTGCAGACACGGTGGTGACTTCATGCCCAGTGCTGAAAGTATTCACAGGCCAAATGGCAGGAAGCGATGTAACCAGACTGTGGGATGACTGTTTTGCAAATGTGCCTTTCCCTCTGAGTCCAGAACATTGGTTCAGACTTGTATCTCTTTGAAAGTTTCAATTTCAGCATGGAAGGAATCAGACATTAACTGAAACAGTGGCTATTATTCTGAAGTTCCTCTATTAATTACTTTGAACTTCAGGCTCAAGTTAAAAGTCTGGAATCAAAAAAGTAGGAACAAACTGCAATCCTGTTTGGAATTGTTACTGCAAAAATGTTCATGCTACAGCAGTGAAAATGAGACTATATTTGAGCTTTGGATGGGAGAAATGGCAAATGTGTTGCATCTGGAGAGACTCAGATGCAACACATTTGCCAACCTATTTGAGAGATCCTGTACTGCTGTTTTTGAATGGTGTTCATTAGTATGCTGTGTTTGGTTTTGTCATTTCTTCTGTCTTAAATTTTTATATTTACACCTACATATATTTTTATCATTATACAAACTTTAATGCTGTATCAGGGTTCCAGTGGACATTGTTGCTAGTTGGGCTGTTTTTCCCTTCTCCATTTAAAATACAATATTAATATTAGGGGGGGAAACGTCTTTCAAATTTGATCAAGACTTAACCTCCTAGGACCTGGCGTCCACATATGTGGACATCACATTTTGGGTTATTTAGAACAAATTACTCAATTTTGCTCTACAAGGGCCTGATATCCACTTATGAGGACATTATACTGCTACTGTTCTACCCAAATTTTAAACGAATATCCTCATATGTGGCTCTCATTTTTCTTAGAAACAAAAATTAGGTAAAAAAAAAAAAAAAATCTGGTAATTCGTTGTTTTAACATTCATCAGGCCCCAATCAGCCCAAATATCAAAGAGAAATTAAAAATGCATGCCGTGGAAGAGTTCAGGTCTTAGGAGGTTAAAGCTTACATTATTAAGGGGTTGGCTAATGACTGACATATGGATGGTTGCACAGGAGTCTGTAGCATGTAATCATCTGTCTAAGGATAAATTGAGTCCCTAAATTGGATGCTTCAACCTGGTTTGTACTGTTGGTGTGTTTTGAAGCAATTTGAATGCAATTATCTGACTTTCTGTGTGGTTAAGTTTACCAGACAAAGAAGCCCTTGCTCTAGTTTTGGTGAGTAGTCCTACCAGTGGACGTTTTTTTATTAGTATGTCATTTATATTAACTAGTACATATCTATGTATGTGTTTCTGTGTATGATTTACTCATAGTTGATGATGATTAGAAACCAAATTAGCCATGTTAGATGAAAATGTATGCTTTTTTTTTTAATCTAAATAACTTCTAAAACAGAAAGAAAGAAAGAGAAAGAAAGAAAGAAAAATAAAACTAAATACAAATTAATAAATAACTTCTGGCATCTACCAAATTTGGACCATAAAGCTAAAGGTTGTGGTTTCAGTGCAATGAAACAAGTGCCTAGTTACGGTTCCTAATGTCTGATTGGATAGTTGCTCTTCATCACAGGGTATAGCCAATCAAACTCAAAATGTAAGTACACGATCAATTAAACCATTGTGTAGTTAGTACCGTCTACCATTTAAACATAATTTTCTCAATTAACATTTTAAGCACAACAATCGTGATTCATGAATGACACCAATTTCCTTCCCTCCAGCTATATTTTTGTTCAGCAGCTTGTCCGAAGTCTTACAGGAATTTTGTGTAGAAGTGCTGAATGAACACTTAATTGAATCAATATTTTCTCCACAAAAATAAAGTCATGTTTCATAAATGTAAAGTTTTATTTAGTCTTTCTGTTTTGTATTCCATCATTATATTTCATACCTCTATTATTACTGTTCTTCATTGACCATTTACATTGAATTTAAGGTCAGCAGTCCTGCCCATCTCTCCCAGGGTCTGTCTCTTATACTTAAAATGCTTGTGGTATTATGCTGAGCCCTAAGTGGGAAATGCAGATATTAAGTGATCTGCTCAATTAAACAAAGACTAAAACAGCCATAATGTGGGCACAGGTGTTCAGCGCATTCATTTTAGCTTTACACGAGAGAGAACAAGTCATCGCATTTCCCAGAGCGATCCTGCTCCCACTGCTGGGGACGGTGGCAGAATATTGTGGCTTAATGTAATTGTATATGCCAATTATGTTCGTTTGCTTTGTAAATAAATACACTATTAATGGCCAAGCCTTAGGTATAAACGCTTTTGACACAGACTCTACTCATGCTCTTTAGCCAGGAAAAGAATTGTGCGCTGCAAAGCTGTCTGTATGTTTGTTTGTTAATTTATTTCGATCATGTAAACAATATACAAAGTCCATTTATCAAAGAAAAGAAGAAAAAATGCTATATATTGCTTCACCTGTTCTGATTCAGTTACATATTGAAAAGGAGTGAGAAGAAGTACACACTTATTTAATCCCATCCCTTTGCCATAAGTTATCGGTCAATATTTAATCAGCTTCCAGACTGATATAATCTGTATGTACTTATTTCTTTTTAAGTAGAAAGGAAAATTACTAAGAAATACTGAAAGAACAGTAAGAAGAGGGAGGTGGATCAATCTCAATAGCGATGACATTGATACCAACACTGGTATTGGCATCAGATACAGTAGATACTAGGTACTAGGATCTAGATACTAGGTACATGTTTCTATCGTCTATAAAAATGTCTGAGCCTTTTAAAGTTGGCTGTTACTACGGTTTTATTTATATCCTATAGAACATTTAAACAAAAGTAACTGATCCAAAGTCCTTAACAGTCAGCCACATTTACAGATCTGAAAAAAAAAAAAACAGTTTCAAAATACACGAAAAGCTGAAAGCTGCATTTTAATGAGTTATCTCGTTATTGTGAAAAGTAAACTCACAGGAATTTAGTGGTCATTAAAACAAATTTAATTGCAAATTGATGACTCATCTCATAAATCATGACACACTGCTCTCTCCTACAGCTGCCTTTATATGTTATAAGCATCAGTGTTAGCATCGGCAATACTAGCCCTGTGGTTACTTGGTATCACATCAGTACCTTCCCCATAGCCACTCATACAACATCAATGTAATTAAATGACAGATTTCTGTAATTTTACATCTTTAACTCGTATAATTTAAGCCCACAGAGCTGTGCTGACAGATTTCTGATGTTTATTACAACAGCATTTCTTTATCATGTAGAAGAAATGAGACGTATTGCACTTGTTTTTTCTTAAATGAAAATCTCATTGATTAAATGTGTAGTTAAATTTATCTACACTGACAGAAAAGGGAGTTTCACTGGTCTGGCCCACAAAAAATCAAAATGGGCTGTATGTAGCCCTCCATGTAAAATGAGTTTGACATCTCTGCACTAGAGGAAAAAGCTTGTGATTAAACTCATCATGTAAATCCTTTCTCAATATAAGACATCTAATAGTCAAACATTACTGCTACTGTTTACGTTTAAGTCGAATGGATTTCTTGGCCTCGCTTAGATGCCCTCCAAAATTTTAGTGTCTCTGTCTATGTCGGATTTACAATGATCAAATCATTCCATGGAACAAAGGCCAGTCTATTTTTGGAACTACACAAAAACTGTGATTGTAGAGCAGTGTTACAAGTTGACAACAGCAACATTCATCACAGCTCACCTTCAATTCAAGTGTTAAGCTCCTGATCGAACGTTAGACCCAGACTTTAATATCTTTTCTTAGAGCCCATTTTTGCCTGGAAATTATCCATCATTTCTTTTTTTTTTCCCTCCTTTTTTTTTTACAGCACATCTTTTGTAACACAGTCCCTAATTGTACTGTATAACATCATCAGGCTGATTTTCCCCAACTTAACAAAGCTCCTCTACAGCCACAGAAAACATTAATGATCTCTTTTTACAGGTTCAGAAATAGTGCTTATTTTAGAAAATTGACCAGGATCAAAAAATTTGGGTAGGCCTTTAAAAATATTGTTGCCAGGAGTCTGATGACTAATACAACTACACTGCTCAAAATTTTTTTAAAGGAACACTTTTAAAACACATCAGATATCAATGGAAAAAAATACATCAGGCTGGTACCTATGCTGTTATGGTCTGGGTAATGTGTTAGGAACAAAAGTATTTCACAGGATTTGATGTAAATGAACATTTTCAACCTGCAGTGGGCTGAATTCAAGGACACCCTGGGAATCAAAAAGAAACAAACATTGTAGCAGGCTAGTCCATTTAGCCAAAATGTCATTGCAAAAAATTCAAAATTGTATTCAGTAGTTTGTAGAGCTTCACGTGGTTGTACACATGCCTTACAGCACCAGGGCATGCCCTTATTTGAGACCACACATGGTATCATGACAAATCTTGTCCCAGATCTGGACCAGGGCATGACTGAGCTCCTGAACAGTCTGAGGTGCAATCTGTGAGCATTGGAAAAGACTGAAACATAATGCCCCAGAGGTCTTCTATTGGTACTGGTCAGGCGACTGTGGGGGGCAGTCAATGGTATCAATTCCTTAATCCTCCAGGGGCTGCCTGCATACTATTTCCACTAGTTGTGCCCCAGGAAGAACCACTGAACCACTGCAGGGTTTGACAATAGGTCCAAGGGTTTTATCCCGATACCTAATTGCACACAGGGTGCTTTAGGCAAGCTAGGGAGGTCTGTGCGTCCCGCCGCAGACTGATCACCGAACCACCACCAAACTGGTTCTGGTATTCCGTGGCAAATGTCAATCACAGTGCTGGGCAGTGAGCACAGGGTCCACTAGAGGATGTCAAACCCTCAGGAGTAGATACTGGTCTTACTGATGGCTTATGGACCTTCTACAGCCCTATCCAGTAACTATCCAGTAGCTGCCCGTCTCCTGGAATGCCCGTCTCTTGAGATCTTGCTAGAAGAGACAGCAAACCCTCTTGCGATGGTACACATTGATGTACTGCTGTCTTGGAGGAGTTGGACTATCTGTGTAACCTCTTTAGGGTCCAGATATCGCCTCATGCTAGCAGTAGGGACAGCTAGATGCAAAACTAGTAAAAAAAAACAGTTCAAAAAGATAAGGAGGGAAAAAATGTCATTGGCCTCCTGCTGAAAATCCATTCCTGTTTGGGGGTTGTCCCATTGTCTCCCCTCTAGTGCACCAATTGTTAATGTCATTAACACCAAAAAAGCTGAAACCGATTAACAACCCCCTCTGCTACTTGACTAGATCTGACTAGATCAGTATCCCAGACGTTTAATTGGCTTGATGCTATACTCAGATTTAAAAAGTGCTCCTGCAGTTTTTTGAGCAGTGTGTAACAAATGAAAAAAGTGAGCTCACCCACAGTTAGAACTGGATCATTGCGCGGCTGGGAAAGCCACACTGGAGACGAGACGGGCTACCTAGCGTTGACATCCTCCATGACACATCAGCCGACCATTTCCTTTTCCTGTTCCTCTTCCTCTGTCTTGTCCACTCACAGAGTCAGGAAACAGCAAGTGCACACCTGGAAGATGAGATCACTTTGGTTAATATGCTACAGCAATGCCACATTTTCTTCCCTCTTTGTGGTTTCACCATACTTCTTCCACTGACACTCAGTGACAGTCACCCAGGTTTAAAGCAGTTTGGACAGAGTCTAAGAGTCAAAAGCCTTACAGAAATGCTTTACCAAAGACACCCTCAGTGAGCACTCTGCTTGTGTGACATCTATTCATAATTTAACATCAAAGAGCCGGGGCTGAAATTACTGCAGAGGGAAAGTGTGCCAGTATAATACAGCGAACTCTAGTTTGGATGTGCATCGTCCACGAATCCATCCCCCGTTGGTACACCACTGCTGTGCTTCACAATGCAGCGTTCTGCTTAATGCTCTGTATATTGGTATGTGATTTACTCGATTCATTTCGAACTAAATTGCAGTGACACAGACTCTGTATTTTATTCATTTTCGCCTGATATGGAAACTGGAAGATGGTTTAGTCACAACTCCATTGCCTGCCAACAGTCTGGGGTGGGGAATGTTACAAAAATAAACTGGCATCATGTCTTATTCAAATACATCTGAGGAAACGCTGCCTCCATGGAGGCTTGTGCTTCACACAGCCAGCGATGCCTGCGTGCTGCATCAGCACCACAACTTGATGGCTGAAGACTGTATTTTTAGTGCTTTATAAGCTGCAAAATATGTAGGTTTTGGGGAATGAGCAACGGGAGTGCCGGAATCATTTTACGAAGCCACACTGTTCTGTGAAAAGGCAAATTACCTGTGACCCAGTAAAGCAGAAAAGAAGAGTGTGTGCTTGATGTGCACAACATTTCAGAAACAACCTATTTTCAGGTAGCCTTGTTTTGTGAAGTTTCTCAAACTGAAATGTATCTGACGGGGTGAGGGGGCTGACATCATCGCGTGGAAAGAGGACTATATGTTCTTCATGCGTTGGTGCAGATTGTGCAGTATTTGTGTTTCCTGACAGCGACGAGCAAGTACTGTTGTGACAAAATAAACAGCTTCACCAGTAAAGCTTTAGAGTTGCTGCCAGGTACCGTCACGCGTACAAGCTCCCAATGACAGTGTTGTCGTTGTGATTTCTGTACAACACACTCGCCTTCCTCACTGCGATGAAGCTATAAACAGATTGAAACACAGTCTAGTTAAAACGACCTGCCAGAATCTCCGACCATTCCGCGGGCCATTGTGTTTTCTCGGAGTTTAACATTTTGAAAAGTGAGGTTTGGAAAAACAAAAATACGCTGGCATACACTGTCTGCTGAAGGGAGCTCAAACTAATAATGCGATTGTGTATAGAACAGTACTGAAAATGGGTGTTTAGCGATATAATGCACATATTTCAATTTTAAAGTCTTGCAGTGTAGCACAGATGCTATGGTTGTTGGTTGCACTTTAGCAGCATACAATCAAGGGCCACTTCATTAGTTATGACTTCCTGATACCAAATTGGACCCACCTTTGGGTCTATTGGGTGCTCTATTGGACTGAGATCTGTTGAGTGTGGAGGCCATTTGAGTACAGTGAACTTGCAGCAGATGGCCGCCCCTCCCTGAGCCTGGTTCTGCCGGAGGTTTCTTCCTGTTAAAAGGGAGTTTTTCCTTCCCACTGTCGCCAAAGTGCTTGTTCATAGGGGGTCATATGATTGTTGGTTTTTTCTCTGTATCTATTATTGTATGATCTACAGTACAATATAAAGCGGCTTGAGGCAACTGTTGTTGTGATTTGGCAAAATTGAATTGAATTGAACCCATTGTGATGTTTAAAAAACCAGTTTGAGATTATACGAACTTTCTGGCATAACATTTCATCCTGCTGAAAGCAGCCATCAGAAGATGAGTACACTGTGGTCATAAAGGAATAGACATGGTCAGCAGCAGCAGTAGGCTGTGGCATTTAAATGACACTCAATTGGTTTTAAGAGTAAATATCCCCCACAACTTTACACCACCACAACATTGCACTTGGTTGGTGCAGACTGGATCCATGCATTTATGGTGTTTATGTCAAATTTTGTCCCTACAATCTAGATGTCACAGGAGAAAATGTTTTTCTAATTCCCCATTGTCAAAATTTGATGAGCCTGTATAAATTATAGCCTTGTTTTCCTGTTCTTAGCTGATAGGAGCGGCGCCAGTGTAGTCTTCTACTGGTGCTACACATCTGCTTCAAGGTTGTTGTGAATTCAGAGATACTCTGGTTGTAACAAGCAGTTATTTGAGTTACTGCTCCCTTCCTATCAAGATTGAAGCAGTCTAGCCATTCTCCTCTGACCTCTGATATCAATAAGAAATTTTTTGCTCAGCACACTTTCCCGCTGCCGCTCACTGGACAATTTCTCGTTTTTGGACCATTCTTTGTAAACCCCAGGGTTGGTTGTGTGGAAAAATCCCAGCAGATCAGCAGTTTCTGAAATACTCAGACCAGCCCGCCTGAAATTCAGCAGGTTGTCTTGTGCATGTCTACATGGCTAAATGCATTGGATTGCTGCCATGTAATTAGCTGATTAGGTATTTGCATCAAAAAGGAGTCGAAGTGGTTGTTGAGTGCATGTCATTGGATATGTTTTGCTGTACCACTGTTTTAATCAGGAGTTATCTATGCGATATGTGATACTAGCACACCATATTAACACACAGCCAGTGCAACCAGCACAAGTATCATACACCCATACAGTAGTTACTCTTAAACTATTCATTAATGTATGCCATCATGTTGACTGATCCACCAGTTTAATTCAGACTGTTATAATTAGACTGAGCACAAATATCGACGCTCTTGTCAAAATTGTGTGATCATATTGTTCATCTGGATAATACGCAACCCTAATGCATGTATAAACAAGTGTTACATCTCTCACATATTCTATTTTAAAGTGTCTTTCATGTCCGGACAACAGACAAGACAACAGCAACAAAAAGGCAACCCCAACAGATACTGTAACTGCGTAAACGGGGGCCATAAAGAGGCCTCTGTAGCCCAAAAGCATGCAGGTGGCCGGTTAGCTTCGGTGTAACTATGTGATGGAGCAAGAATACAGAAAGTCAGCTCCATGGCGCTGACTGAAACAGCCAATGGCAGACAATGAAGCCTGACAGCCTTTCACATCAGCTCGAGTTAACCAGCTGTGAAGGGAACACCTGCCACTGATTAATAAAGAATTACAGCAACAATGCCATGTGTGAAAATTGCTGTACTGATTGTTGAACTAACAACATTAGCCCCAAAAGGTGGAACAAGGAGGTGAAACATCAGATTATTCTGTAAAGGACTCACGTATGTCCAAAAAACCCCAAACCCATCCTCAAATGTTTTGCCATTTTAAATGTGTTTAATGCTCACTGACTTTAAAACTAATGGGTAATTTATCTCACATTATTACAAAATAATTTAATTAATTAAAAATAGTTAAACTTCATTTATAATAATGCAAACACTTATAGTGAGTTACTTACTGAGGAGTGTGGTTGTGCATACTTGATTTTTGTAATACAAACACTTGCTGTTAATCTTAATCTCACATATTTTATTCAGTGTTTTTTGATTATTATTATTTCGGCTGCACGGTGTTTAGACTTGGACTCTTGTGCATAATGTTGTTTGCAGTGTTTGTGTTGCAAAGAATGGAGTATTAATAGGCCACCATGACTGAGACTCCTGTAGTGATTAATGGCTCCCAGTCAGCGTTGTTGTTCAAATGTTAATGAAACCAGTGTTTCCGTAATAGTGCGGTGTATGGGACAAACACATCGGACAGGGATCTCTGCCTCCTAAAACTTATTGTAGATAATCTGAACAGGAACTCGTAAGTTTCTTAAAAAGCCACAAGCCAGATAAGGGATGTCAGTAGAAATAGAGTGATTGTAGAGAACCTTTAACAAAAAAGGCAATAACCCTGAATTGTGAATAATGCAAAGCTACTTTAGTGAAGTTCCAGAATAATGTAGCTTCCTTACTTATTTTTATTTGCATATGTATGTTCTGTATGTTTATGCCGATAGTCTATCGCCTATCTTGGCACTACTTGCTCACACTTCTCCCTCCTTGCTCTGTGTCTTAGATTTATAAAATCCCATCTTCAAAGATGAAGCAGGGGCATGTTTCCAAGTTTGTAATCAGTCTGCCTCTGAATTCTGAGCTCCCTTGGCCTTGAACATATCCTATTTCTCGAAGACCAATAATAACACCCTTCTCTGTTTGCTTGCTTCGCTGTAGAATCGTGTTGATGTACTCTCCAGGCGGTGGGGAAAAGAGGCTCTCTGGAGACAGTGTGTCCTAGTATGTCCAACTGCTCGTTTTCCTTTATGAATTCATTGGTCTCTGACCAACTTGGTAAAGCCCAGAACAGTTTTCAAGGATATCTAGGGAATCTCGAAGACATGCCGCTGTAGTAGATCAATATTGATGTTACTGTCATAGCCACAAAAAACAGCGTTGCCTTGAGGTGCTATTAAATTAAATATTAATTTTTATGTGTGGGCATTGATTCAAACAGACTTAATTGCTTTTGAAGGGCATTATGCCAGAAGTAGGTGATCTGTCTATCTCTGATACTTTGTTTCTTACGGAGTCTTGTATAGCACGTCAATTCAATTCAGTCCCAACAATAGTCGCCTTCAAGGTGCTTCACCAGGTTAGTACATGTTAATGTTTTTTTTTGCAAACTAACAGCTTACAAGGTGACAAGTTTTAATGCTGTTTAATGCTTCATAAAAACTAAATAGGAAACAATAAAGTGCAGACTGTACTGCATAACACTGTACAGTATATCTATGTAGTCAATGCATGACTACAAAGATCGTGAATCCTATGTAAAAGCCTTTATGACATTCTGTAAACAAGGACACTGCTTTGTTTTGGTTATCAGGCTGTTTTGGAATGGATTTTAATATTTTACTGATCACATTTCAACATCATGTAAAAAAGAAAGTTTTGAATCTTTAAAGCCATAAACATGCCGCCCCTTCTCTCTAAAACGAGGATGTCAAGTATGTCAA